CTCGTCGGTGATGCTACATCATACAGCTGTTCGGTCCTTCTAGGTCTCGTCGGTGATGCTACATCATACAGCTGTTCCGTCCTTCTGGTCTCGTCGGTGATGCTACATCATACAGCTGTTCCGTCCTTCTAGGTCTCGTCGGTGATGCTACACCATACAGCTGTTCCGTCCTTCTAGGACTCGTCGGTGATGCTACATCATACTGCTGTTCCGTCCTTCTAGGTCTCGTCGGTGATGCTACATCATACAGCTGTTCCGTCCTTCTAGGACTCGTCGGTGATGCTACATCATACAGCTGTTCCGTCCTTCTAGGTCTCGTCGGTGATGCTACATCATACAGCTGTTCGGTCCTTCTAGGTCTCGTCGGTGATGCTACATTATACAGCTGTTCCGTCCTTCTAGGTCTCGTCGGTGATGCTACATCATACAGCTGTTCGGTCCTTCTAGGTCTCGTCGGTGATGCTACATCATACAGCTGTTCCGTCCTTCTGGTCTCGTCGGTGATGCTACATCATACAGCTGTTCCGTCCTTCTAGGTCTCGTCGGTGATGCTACATCATACAGCTGTTCGGTCCTTCTAGGTCTCGTGGGTGATGCTACATCATACAGCTGTTCCGTCCTTCTAAGTCTCGTCATTTAAAGTTACGAAGGATAAATGTATTCAAGGATATATGATTAGAGTAACAAAGAAGAAATTCCGAGAGGAGTGAATCAGCTTTCTTCACTTGATAAATCAATCTATTGACTAAAAGTCACATTAGACTGATCAAGAAACTAGCCGTCGTGTTAATTGTATCAATGATTACCTGCAGTAAGGAAATGTTGATCAACATTCTACAAAACTCAGACAAAAACCAATTATTATCATTTATTCGAATTTAAAATCGATGAAAGGAAACGAATATTATAAAACCAGATTTCCAGAACGGGAGGAGTCGATTATGACATCGCTTCGTGGACTAATAAATTCTTAACCAATTCGACTGGGCAACGTTTAACAAATGTGGACTGCTGTTTTGATTTTTCCATCATTATTTCTAAATATACAGCTTTCCGTGTCAAATAATAGAATGTTACTTCAGATCGCCTTAAACCTTTATGGATTTATAATGTTGTCTCTTTAAAAAAAATCTTTTCCAACATAGACAAAAAAAGTAATATTAAAATTCATTGTAGCTGTTAATTTCGAATATTTATGCAGGCAAAACGTATTTGTCTTGAAGCTTTGGTAGTATTATCAGAATATTTTGAGATGTACATGTTTTCCTCCAAAATGCATGAGTTCCATGAATTCCGGACATTTGCTGTGGCATTGTTTTGTTCAGTAACACTAATTTATACTTTTATCAATTATAAAACTTTGACAACTGCGGTTAAAGATACTATCCAAATAGATTTTATCTTCCTAAGTTTAACTTTTGTTTTATAATTTCTATATAGTATAGAGTTGTGCGGTAAAACAAACATCATAACGTAAATCTAAGCCGACAGTATTTCATCCTTTAGTACATATAGCACACATCTGATGGACATTCCCCTTACGTCACACATATAGCACACATCTGATGGAAATTCTCCTCACGCCAGACATATAGCACGTCTCCTCACGTCACACATATAGCACACATCTGATGGACATTCCCCTCACATCACACATATAGCACACATCTGATGGACATTCCCCTCACGTCACACATATAGCACACATCTGATGGACATTCTCCTCACGCCACACATATAGCACGTCTCCTCACGTCACACATATAGCACACATCTGATGGACATTCCCCTCACGTCACACATATAGCACACATCCGATGGACATTCTCCTCACGTCACACATATAGCACGTCTCCTCATGTCACACATATAGCACACATCTGATGGACATTCCCCTCACGACACACATATAGCACGTCTCCTCACGTCACACATATAGCACACATCTGATGGACATTCCTCTCACATCACACATATAGCACACATCTGATGGACATTCCCCTCACGTCACACATATAGCACACATCTGATGGACATTCTCCTCACGCCACACATATAGCACGTCTCCTCACGTCACACATATAGCACACATCTGATGGACATTCTCCTCACGTCACACATATAGCACACATCTGATGGACATTCTTCTCACGTCACACATATAGCACACATCTGATGGACATTCTCCTCACGTCACACATATAGCTCGTCCCCTCACGTCACACATATAGCACGTCTTCTCACGTCACACATATAGCACGCATCTGATGGACATTCTCCTCACGTCACACATATAGCACGTCTCCTCACGTCACACATATAGCACACATCTGATGGACATTCTCCTCACGTCATACATATAGCACACATCTGATGGAAATTCTCTTCACGTCACACATATAGCACACATCTGATGGACATTCCCCTCACGTCACACATATAGCACACATCTGATGGACATTCTCCTCACGCCACACATATAGCACGTCTCCTCACGTCACACATATAGCACACATCTGATGGACATTCCCCTCACGTCACACATATAGCACACATCCGATGGACATTCTCCTCACGTCACACATATAGCACGTCTCCTCATGTCACACATATAGCACACATCTGATGGACATTCCCCTCACGACACACATATAGCACGTCTCCTCACGTCACACATATAGCACACATCTGATGGACATTCCCCTCACGTCACACATATAGCACGTCTCCTCACGTCACACATATAGCACACATCTGATGGACATTCTCCTCACGTCACACATATAGCACACATCTGATGGACATTCTCTTCACGTCACACATATAGCACGTCTCCTCATGTCACACATATAGCACACATCTGATGGACATTCCCCTCACGACACACATATAGCACGTCTCCTCACGTCACACATATAGCACACATCTGATGGACATTCTCCTCACGTCACACATATAGCACACATCTGATGGACATTCTCCTCACGTCACACTAATGGCAGCTTTTAGCTCGCTGGACTTCGTATCATTCACATGTTCGAAGTCTTTCGAAGAGCTCATATGAATGAATACAAAATATTAGCACTTCGCCTTGTTTTGAAATAGCACGTCATCGCACGAAAGTATCGATCTTCACTAAAAGACAATTATGTACAATTAAGTGACAATTAAGTCCAATACATCTCTTAGTTTATTGTGATATCATTTTATCACGTCATTACAAATTGCCGAGAACATAAGTATGATATTTTTTGAGACTTTTTAATTGTTTCAACGATAAATAAAATCAACCAGAAAAGATAAAACAAAGTACCGATTTTATGTTCAAAATTTCTTGGTTTCCTTGCTGATGATACGTCACGACAATAACGCTAAAAAGCATGCTACTGTTATGGCGCTAGTTATAGTTCCTGACGTCATTTTATATTATATGCTATTGTTCCTGACGGCATTTTACATTAGATGTTATTGTTCCTGACGGCATTTTACATTACATGTTATTGTTCCTGACGTCATTTTACATTATATGTTAGTGTTCCTGACGTCATTTTACATTACATGTTATTGTTCCTGACGTCATTTTACATTACATGTTATTGTTCCTGACGTCATTTTACATTATATGTTATTGTTCCTGACGTCATTTTACATTATATGTTATTGTTCCTGACGGCATTTTACATTACATGTTATTGTTCCTGACGTCATTTTACATTACATGTTATTTTCCTGACGTCATTTTACATTACATGTTATTTTCCTGACGTCATTTTACATTACATGTTATTGTTCCTGACGTCATTTTACATTACATGTTATTGTTCCTGACGTCATTTTACATTACATGTTATTGTTCCTGACGTCATTTTACACTAGATGTTATTGTTCCTGACGTCATTTTACATTAGATGTTATTGTTCCTGACGTCATTTTACATTACATGTTATTGTTCCTGACGTCATTTTACATTATATGTTATTGTTCCTGACGTCATTTTACATTATATGTATATGTAATGACTTGTGGAGTAGTTGACGTCTTATACATCGTTATTAGAACTACATCTGTAAATTAGACATTTGTGGAAAGTATATCGATATTGGTCAGATATAGGTATTGACCAATCAAAACTGATTTCACATCTCGAATAAATTTCTACTTCAGTATGTTAATGTGGTTGTGAGGAGGGGATTGTAGTTATCATTTAGTAAAACGTGTTTGTGTGAAATAATTATTCATTCAACGCCTTTAAGTTTCTTTGCCTTCGCAAGATCCTAATACTATGTCGGAAACATCAAATAATGGTAGACCAAGAACGTTCTAAACTTAGCATGCGAAATAATCAAAAGCAAGAACATCGTGTGCAGTAAGCGATTAAGGTCTGCAGTGTAGGTGCACGCGTTACACACTATCCATGGGTCAAGGAAATGTTGACCTCACACCATAGCAGTCTGCAATTGGAATTGATTTGTATCTATGATATAATATGGAATCTCAGGAATCAGACATGAATCGTTTTCCTTTCAAATCACCCAAAGGTTTATTCAGAATTTCAGACACACTATCGACAGAAATGATTTGCGGAATAGTGCAATTCGCTATACTCGTCAGTCAATGTCTAGAAATTTATAACAATGTCTGTGGTGTTCCCATGCGGACTTCAACCATACCAGATTATAAGTAATAACCCGTCGCACATGCATTGTCCTCCCAGAGCCCCTTGGTGACAATCCATTTATTGTGATGTATAGTTATTTTTAGCTGAAAAAATTAGCATGCGAGTTATTTTAAGGGATTGCCCGATTAATACTATTGGTTAGCTGCGTTATGTGTTTATATATCATCCCATGAAAGCGCCATGTGTATTGCTGCGTCAGTTTCATTAAGAATAAACAAAGATATCGGAGCACATATCTGCATACAGTCATTATGTCAGATTTACACTACATGCAAAATTGTACAACAATAACGATATGACTGATATCAATTTGAATTCTCACCTTTCTCCTTTTGATTCATCCTCCGAAAAGATGACGGATGATCGGATTTCATACTGGATCTGGTTGGCTTGAGAGCCTTTGAAAAATCAGCTGAAACGAGAATAAAAATAGAAATGTACGGTTTGAATATCTAACTTTAATTTCAGTATCAAATATTGAATTATTTAAATATAAAAGAGGGGTTGAAATATCCTTGTAACATCTGCAGTCACCTAAAGATGATCTCTTGATGTATTCAAGGTGAGAGCATGTGTGATCGGGAGGCAATGATATGTTCCTATAGGTGCTATTACACTGAAGTATACTGTCGAAACAAAGCACTTCCAGAATGAATAATAGATCTGATTTTTCAATAAATCAATTAGTCCGAATGATTTACTCATAATTCCTTGAGAATGGAAAGGTGTAACCATATGCTAATTAAGATTTTATTCTGTCTAGGTATGAAGGTATTCACAGTTGTGTCCTAAGGTCTGATACTGTATTAACCTTTGTCATCCGATCCTGGAAATGTCAACCAGTACATTATATATACGTCGGGTATCTAATGATTCTCCTTGATTATCAATACGGAGGCATTATTTTAATTTGACATAAATAATGAACATAGTTTATTCATTTTCGTCTAGCGCTGTAAATATTTGATGAATGTGGAATACTGCACTGTTTGCCATATGATGATTTATAATGTTTATATAAATAAAGGGAATAATTAGAGAGCATCATCTTTAGCACAAAAACATTAATCATAGCAGACGCGTCTCAGTACAGTTTCACGCAAGAGTCCTCTAGGCTAAGAACTGCACACACAATACCCGACATTTATCACTCGACACCAATCACAAAGTACTGATCAGGGATAACATGCCGCATGGGCTTTACCCTTACGCCGTACAAAGATGATCCGCTCCTGTCTCGATAGAGGTTTTCATTAAACCTCTGTCAGGATAAACAATGACCTCAATTTCAATATAGTGCTTTTAACAAATTAAATTCCATCTGTCATTTCCATTAAAAAAAACAAATGATATACGTTATAAATCATTCAAAATGAAAGTGCCGTTTTGTCTTTGAGAAATTCCTGCATACACACTTTTGTTTTCTCGTCTTTTCACATCTTAAATCCTGTTGTTGTGATACATGCTAAACTTGCCAGTATCGATATCATTTGAAATGATATTTCCACTGTCATCGTTGAATTGCAAGGAATTACCAACTGTGAAACTGCTTTTTTGTTGTACGTAAAAAATCTAACATAGTATCATTAGTCATGTCAAGGAATACATCGAACCCAAGAAGTCATGGGTTAAAATTTGTACGAAAGAAACACAAAAGAAAACACTTTTTAACTCGAATTTAGAATAAGTCAAATTAGAGTCAAATAATGAATTAAAACGCGTCAAGCGACTTCGAAACTGTGGCGATAACCAAGGGCATCATAAATGCTTGAACGAAATGCCAACATCCAGAGAGGGAGATACTCAAAAATTCAATAGATTCAATGAATACCACGTAATGTTGAAAACGGCCTTGATTCTGCGACAATAATAGCAATTGTTTAAAGAGTAAACGAAATGCATCGATGAAGTGACTTCGGTTTTCAAAGGTTACAGCTACATACAAGTCATTTTGATCATATATAATTTTTTATGCATTCTTACTACAGAATCTTAACTAAAACTCAGATATAAAGAAGTTAAGGCACAATATGAACAAAAAAAGAAGAGATTTACATAGAGAATCCTAAAAAAATACAAGGACAAATTGATACGGTGTGCCAGAAGAGTAAGCGTTTCATCGACGACACCCGCTATGTTAATTTCGTCCAATCCAAGTTAGTAATATCACGTTCTTCCCAAATGAGAACATGGTAAACAACAACGAAAACACCGACCAAAGTGACGAGCTTCAGACAATCCGAGTTTGATATCGCATAAGGGAATATGATATTTCCCGTTCACTAACATTATTGTGGCAACATTCTCATAATGCCCATCAGCCGTCTCAATCTATTGCTCCACAGTTTGTCAGTTGCCGACATCTAGATCGTGGTTGATCATCTGTATATGATTGTTGAGGTAACTCTAGCACAATTCATGTTGATTTGAAAGCAAACATATGCAATTTGTGGTCACTAAAATAACGTCGCAATATAAAAGAATAAGATAACCATTAATCACTATATATCGTTCTAACAATGTTTGTTATTAGTCCATTTAATTATTCTACAAACAATGGATCACGTTGGTCATAAAATCTCTTATACAGCTTATCTACACACTTAACGAAAGCATTGCAATACCTAACTCCATAATATATAATAGTGTCGTTTGAAGCGCAAGTAAATGTAGTTATCAGGTATAACGGCCCATCAAGCTCGAATCAAGCAGTGTATTCGACACCCCAATCACATCACTATTTGTGTTACAGTTACTGCTATCGTTACACATAAAAAGTTCATATAACGCATTCAGGCCAGGAAGAACACAGTTTGCATTATTGTAAGAATGTCTAGAGGGCTTTCACATGGTCTATCTTAAATGAGATTATGTCGAAGACGATTGAACTTTATCATTGTTGACATTGTTTGGTTTGATATTGTGTAACGTCACAACAACAAATTTTGTCATTATCGATGACATGATAGACATATTATTAATCATACTGGAGGTAGTGAACACGGGACCGTTGCTGTTTGCAAAGAGAAAAGTCGCTGAATATTACATTTTTTTAAAAACAAATAACTGAAATTTGTGACCAGTGCTAATTCAATCTGTAATTGTAAATGATAATTGATGATCGTACGTCGACAGTTGTGAATTTACAGCATTCTTCATCAAGTACAATATTGAAAAAAAAAATCTAATTAAAGGCGCCGAGTTTTGATAAAGAACCATCCGGAGTGATGAGTCATAAAAATAGTAACCAGATTCGGTAACAAAGTATTTGTTAGTTTGCCGCTACCTGTCCTCCTGTGATCACATCCACATGCATCAGGCGATGAAGGGCTTCCGAACACTTGTTCAGTGATCAGTCATTGACGGATATTAATTCATCATTCAACTACAAAACTATTCCAGACAAAAACGAGTTTTTAAGCATATCAAACAAAGAACGTGTCGACATTGACCTAATCTTAGTGTCTTTGCCTGCTGTTATTAATTTTCATTTAAACACAGAAAAAATCAATTTGTCTCCGCATCGTATAGAATAAATTGCCTCCCTTCACGATAGCTATCGGTTTATAAAGCCTCTGTGAGCAGGTTAGAGCCGACTTAGGCCATATGTCTGCTCAACAATTTAATTAACTATTGACAAAAACAGAACATTGCAAAACCTTAATTGGAAATATCGTAATCTACAAATCGGAGTATTGAAGGGGATTTTATGATCCAGATAATTGTATATTGATGATTTAGGTTTTATTTTTTTCAATCACTGATAACAGAATTACAAACATTCTGATCGGGATTGCAGTTTCACTCCAGGATTAAGTTACACGATAACTTTGATTGTAAATCAATAGCTGATGCAAGAGGCTTGAAAGTAGATGAAATACGTAATTCTATAATTGTCTACTGGATTAAGCGTGCATTGTCAAAGTTTCAAGCGCTATTCATAAGGATAAAATATAATATAATATAATATAATATAATATAATATAATATATGTCTTTCATCAATTGAAAACTTGATGTTAGATATAATAAAAACTAAAATACATATTTATCCGGAAACAGTACTCCATAAAATGTTATTTACGTCCAGTATAAAAAGAGTACATCAGATTAGTCTTCTCTTCATATAATTACACTTTGCATTAAATGTTACAAATCACCATATATTCACTCCGATACTTCAAAACATTGCTGAATAGTTATCAGTTTCTTAAACATTTAGCTAGAAATCAGCCATGGGGAGTGTATATAGAACAAATATTTAGTGTAACAATCCTAGATATGAAGGAAGTGTATGTACGGTACGTATGCATGGATCCTAACCAGAGGAAATGATCTGTTTTATGTGAGACATTTATTGTAATGTTTCTGCGATTGATATATTTAAATGTATGCATTTATGTTTAAAGATCGAACAATAAAATATGTGTTGTATATTCAGGTAACGCTATAAACAATCGATGTTTTCATGAACAGAAACACCATAAGTAAATGTTGGATCATCCGCATAAAAGAAGAAGGCACCGTTTTAGAAATGTTTCCTATGTATTCTGAATGTTAGACAAGGTGTGTGATCATCCCACAATAGATTAACGGTACATCTGATATTAATAATGCTATGATCAGGTTTTGTATTGTATAATGTCATTTGCAATATCAGTTTATCTCTACATGTTGTGTTACCACAGGTGATAATAGGAGATATTTTTTATATGCTACAAAAATTTAATGGTGTGAATATGTATAGTGTAAAGATTTACAAATAATTGTTTGCTTTTCAAATTAAGATCAGTATCGCTTATTGATATCTAAATATATGTTTACATCATTTTGATCACGTGAATCCTTTTTTGGACATTTGTCCGAAACTATAGAAAATGACAGAGAGGAAGTAGAAGCAAGGTTTTAAGATTGGCACCTGTAAGAACCTTTCCATTTACTTATTAGAAATGATAGAAACTTGCATCTTAAAATACCCAAATATACACACACTCATACATGCACTTTAACATAGATCTACTCTTTGATAGCTAAACCTAGGTATTTACCTATGCCATGAAATGCATGTATGTTTAGGGTGTCAACAAAATAACTAAGCATGAGACGTATACACCCCCCTATCATATTTCAACACGACATTTATTGTGTACAACTCATCGTAGGCAGATATACTGAAGTACCTGAAGTATCTTCTATATTTGTCATAAATTATCACACTTACTTAACGAATACAACAATTGACATAATCACTGAATCTATCACCAGCATATCACAGTGGTCAGGAAATGGACAGCCTGTTATCAAGATACCTCATTAACTTCGACATACCAGGTTGTGACATGGTCCGAATCTGTGAGAAATAATTAACAAGAACAAGAATCTCGTCCTCTGGGAAAGATGGGGTAATTAAACA